AGGTCCCCCGTGACTAAGGTCGTAATAGTCCTGGTTCATGCCGAATAGGGGACGCACCCCCTGATGCCTGCTCCATCTCTAGATCTCATGTGCCCATGGGGGCGTAGGGCCGTTGGGACCCGTCCTATGCGGGAGCACCCTAGCTACGTATGGCAGATTGATGACTTCGGACTCTGTGTCCGAGTCATCTGCATCATCCCCGTCATACTCCTCCTCCTCCTCTGAGTCCACCACTGGTTCTGCTGGTCCCTGTTCGGGTTCTTCCTCTGGTTCCTCTTTTGGTTCCTCTTCTGGTTCTTCTTCTGGTTCCTCTTCTGGTTCCGGCTCCAGCCATCCTCCGTTCCCCTGGTTGGGGAAATAAGGATCTCCGGGTAGATGAAATCCGGCTATAGAGTCTGCACAGAACTATATGAATGCAAGAAAATGGATAGCATGTAAGAATACTCCTATAGTATTTTAATTGTTTATGTTTGGGTTTCTTAAAACTTTTTGGATACGAGGTTGGTAAATTTCTAGATTCATTCCCACCACGATCACTCCCAAGCACATGTTGGTCGTATTTTAAATAAATATAGTTGATCAGGCCATATTTACCCCAAATACGATTACATAACTGCCCGAGTTTAACCGTGATGTTCAATTCCTCCAAGACCTTTTCTTCTTATTGTAATAATGCACACATAGGTATGTGTTTTATTATTATTATTATTATTTGTTCAGAGTATTTTAGTCCCAATGTATTTATAGTTGCATATCTTGTATGATTAAATATGCCTGTTCACTATAAACATTGCTCTGATACCAATCTGTCACACCCACGAACCAGACGGCGGAAACGTCTGGGGGCGGGTGACTTCATCTTGTAATATCATCACAATGTATATAAATGAATCAAATACAACATCATCATCACACATGAAATATAACAACCATCATAGTTTACATCAGTGTGTTGGTTTACAAATTACATTCCAAATGTCGAATGTATGATGATAACAAAAATACACAAAATCCACGTGTTCTTGACGACCAACCTGCTTAACGATTCCCTGAGAATACAAGTTATTTGGAAAAAAATGTCAACATATATAATGTTGGTGAGTTCATAAGCATGTTTGTATGAAAGGTTTTGTATCATTTGTAAACTCCAGAAAATCCGATATTTTCCGTAAAATTTGTTTGAGAGTTTTGTTTCAAATCTTGTATTAAAGCATGTGTGTTCATGTTTTTGAAAATGTATAAAGAGAGAATTCCAGAAAACCCTATATTTTATGTAGTAAGTAAATGGTTGTGTATAATGTATTTCCCATAAAACCCGATATCTTCTGCTTGTAAAAGAGTTGTAGTCTTAAAACCATAAGACCCGAGTGTTGTAGAAATGAATAGTTCGTACGTGTATCAACAGTATAGTATATGTATTCCATAAACTTATTATGTTTGTTAATCTCTATGCGAGTCGTTATAACCATGCTTGATGTGACTGATATGCCTGTCATGACGTTTTTCAGGTGTCGCTTGTTTAAGATAAGATATTTGTCACCCTAAACTGGCCTAGTCTAGCTGTAGCGAACAACTCAGGTGTGGGGTGGTCAACCCCGTATAGATCTATACATAAACTCTCGCTCTCTCTCTCTCCAGGAGACTCTGGTTATAACTACAGGACTTAAGGTTGTACACTAGGTATGTACGGATGAAGGCGTGTCTCACAAGAACCTTAACTAAGTTTATACGAACAGTGTATCACATTGTTTACCGCTTTAAAATAATGATTCGAGTATGCATTTAATTACAAAACATTGGGGATGAAAATACCATTTGTTTTTAGCAAAGTGTCAAGTATTGTTTGTTATTATCCCGATTAACATAAAATGAGTCGTGAGGCCCAATAAGAAAATCAATGGGCCTATAAGGCCCAATAAACATGAAATGAGTATACGAAGCCCAATAGACATGTATTTGAGCATAATAGGCCCAATAAGCATGTAATGAGTATAACAAGCCCAATAAGCATGTTATGGGTGTGACAAGCCCAATTCGAGTAAAAATGTCGTAAAGAGCCCATTTATTATGAAAATGATCGTTTTAGTCCGATTTGTGCTAAAAATGACATAAACGGCCCACTTTTCTTAGAAATGATCTTTTTGGCCCAAGAAATCGAAAATTTTCAATAAAGGCCCACTTTTGTCAAAATTTAATAAATTGGCCCACTAAAGCCAAAAATTTAAAATAAAGGCCCATTTTCATTTCAAATGACATTTTAGGCCCAATAAAAACCGAAAGTTTGTAAATAAGGCCCATTTTGATAAAAATGACATTTTAAGTCCATTAAGGCCAAAAATTTACATTTTAAGCCTATGAAATCGTGAATTTTCAAATAAGGTCCCTTTTTATGAAAAATAACCCTTTTAGCCCATTAAAACCGTAAAGGCCCAGAAGAAGCCCATTTGTCAAAAATAACACTTTTGATCCCTATAAAACCGTGAATGTCATAGAAATGTATTTTTTTATCCAAAATAACTCTTTTGGTCCTCTCAAAACCGTGAGTTATCATAAAAAGGCTCACTTTTTGTTTATTTGTCAAAAATGGCCCTTTTGCATTATTTCTTTGTTTTTCTAGTAACTTTTGCATGTTAAGACTTTTCAACATTATGTAGAGTCACTTCAAATATCTTAGTTTACTAACATCAACATGATTTGGTAGGTATTTCGAGTTTTATGAAAGTTTAACAAGCTTTCATTACATATTCACACCATATAACATGAAAATACACACATACATGCATAAATACTTAGATCTAACACAAAACCAACTTGTATTCTCCCCCAAAACATAGTAAAACCGAAAACAATGTGGTATGAAGCTCACCTTGGGGTGATGGATCAGTTTTGATGAAGAAATGGAAGGGAATGAAGGTGATATCAGTCCTAGTTTGCTTTTTGAAGAGAGTTTTCGAATCTATGGAGTTCTAGGAAGCTTGAACACAAAATGAAATGTTATGAGTGGAAATCTTAGCATAAAGATGAAGTTTAACATATTGACTATGAAGTAACTTACCAAGAATGTGAAGCTTGATGTGATCTTCTTGAGCTAACCCACACACCCACGGTTTTAAAAAAGGAAGAGGGAAAGATTGCTTTGTGTTCTTGAGAGAGATATGAAGGGATTTTTGTGAGTTTGAAGTGGAAAAATGAGGGTGATGGTGGGTGCTCTCGGATAGGATTAAGAAGAGAGAAGAGAGAGGAGAGCTTGCATAAAAGTATGGGATTTTCTAGATGTATAGGAGGTTAATTGCATGGATATCCTCCATGCAATAAGGAGGTGTCACTAATTTCAAATTAATTCAAATTTTCTTTTTCTTTTTTTATTAAAACCGAGAATGAGGTGAGGGAGGAAAGAAATTTGGATGTTGGGCTCATATTTGATTATCAACCGAATTTGTGTAACCCAAAAATAAATTTTTCGGCCCATTGGGCCCTCATACTCGTTTTCGGCCCAAATGAGTAAAAGGAATGGGTTTTCGGCCCATGAAAAACAATTGAATGGTTTTCGGCACAATAAGGCCCATGAAGAGTCTTATGGCCCAAAATACTATTGCTTAATGAATGTGGGTCCAACTAGGGCCCAAATGAGGTTACTTCGCCCAAAAGAATCAAGTTGAGGGTTTATTGGTCCACTAGGCCCAATAAGAGGATCCTGGTCCAATAAAAGTTTGAACCGGGAAGTTAGGGTTTCAAACCCAAATTTGAGTGAATGTAGTGCATTGAATTAGGTTTAGGGCTTACACAAGTGAGTTTTGATTCGAATTGCCATTGTTGAATGAATAATATGTATAACATCATACTTAAGGTTACAAGATACATCAGAAGTAATTACACATGGAAATAATTTCCTAGCCTTAAAAATACTAGTTGTGACACAAAACAAGATGTCGACTTTATATCTCAAGAAGACTGTTATTGGTGAAGAGTTTTTGGATCTATACTCCTTCTAAGCTAGATGTTTCCAACTTCCAAGCTCCTTCCAAAGAATCACCAAAATCAATTCTCAAAGCTCTCACACACTCAATCTTGAAAGGATAAACGAACTTAGGGTTTCTGGACAAAGGGGGGTTGGTAAGGAGGCCAACCAAGGGGGTTAAGTCCTTTAAATAGGGTGCAACACCCTAAAATTAGGGTTTCATCTTCAGCCGCCAACTCGTCGAGTTGGGACTCCCCGACTCGTCGAGTTGGGTCATTAAAACCCGCTGCCACAAAATTCTCAACACGACGAGTTGGAGCTCCCCAACTCGTCGAGTTCCCACAAAATTCCAATATTTTTGAGATATGATTCATACGTGAATCAAGCGTTACATATCATAGAATACAAAAAAAAAAAAAATTGAAAAACATAAAATTTCCAGCTTTGATATCCCGACTTTGAGAGACTGTAAGTCAATGAATATAAACCCAAAAATGACAAAATTACAGTCTAAAATCAAGTTCAAACTATAAACTACACTCTGGAAAAAACCTCATGCCAATTTGACTTAAACGAATGAGATATGCATGTTTTAAACGTCTCACAAAAATTGGTTCCGGTTCCGGTTCCTAACACGGTTCCGGTTCTTAAACCAGGTTTATCCGGACCCGAAACCCGGATTACCCGGAACCCGGATAAAACCATTATTTAAACTCGGGACCCGGACAGGTTCTACATGTTACGTTCTAACGGTTCCGGTTCCGGTCCTATTTCGGTTCTGATCCGATTTTCCGGTTCTAAATCTCATCCCTAATAACAATCATTTTAGTGTAATATATACGAAAAAAAAACCTTAAGGACCTAATATAGACAAAGTTAAAACGATATTACCTCCTAGTTTGTTAACCCTTAAATTAAATCAACTAAATGGTGATTAACTCTGGTCTTGTCCAGCAATCCATTACAACCCTATTAAACCCTACCTCATCTCAATTAAACCTGAATTCACTTTTAACCATACGAAAATTACCAGTTGCGGTTCATGGGGGACGACGATAACAGTAATTCAAGAAGTCAATTTAACGATGATGCCGATGAGAACCGAATTGTTCAGCAACATCTGCTTACCAATATTTCGCGTAAGAGCAAACAATTGTTTTGGTATGATATTCGAAACTTTCCTGATTCGCTGCTTATTGAAATTCTCGCTAGATTACCCGTGAAATCTATTTTTAGTTTTAAAAGTGTGTGCAAGCATTGGCAAACCCTAATTTCTCACCCTTCCTTCTGCCGATTCTATTACTCCATTCTTAATTCATCCCCGCGATCTATCAGAATCTTGGATAGGTACACTTGGCTACCGAACTTCAAGGAGTTTGTTAATCGTCTTGGTACTAAAATCCACAGTTCGTCCGAATTTTCTGTTCTTTTTCTTGCTACCTATGAAGAACAACAACCCGGTGCAAAAAATCAATTTAGGGTTTTAGCTATGAGTAATGGTTTGATATTGTGTTGTGCGTGGTTGCCAACATTTGTTACTACATCTGTGATCCACTCACTCGACAATGGATCACTTTACCTAGCAGGAAACCCCAATTAATAGGTCCCATTAGTGACGGGCTTATTACTAGGGTCAACGAAGATTATACGCTTATTGGTTATACAATTGTTACGGTCGAACTCCTTAAATCTCAATCGAATTATGTCAATATAGAGATGTTTTCATCTGGAACAGGCAAATGGATCATCTACAAGCTACCTTGCGATATTCCAATCCGATTGTGGAATGTGGTCGGTCACCCAATCTATTGTTACGGGGCTCTCCATTGGTTAGTTAGTTATGATGAGGGGATTTATGGCATGCTTGCATTTGATCCTTACAAAGATCCAAAATCTGTTCGCCTAATTCCACTCCCAGATGACAGAGATCTCCTGAGTAAGTATTTAGACAGTTCTTCTCAATTATGTGGGGAGAGCCAAGGGACCCTTCGTTATTTCGAGGTGGCTCATGGTCGCAAGCAGTTCTATTTGTTCAGCATGTGGTCTATGAAGGATTATGAGAAAGGAGAATGGTGTTGTGAGTTTAAGGTGAGACGTAGCGATCTTCATTCTAACAATCTGGAATTGAGTAATTGGTTGTTGGACGGATGGTTTCTTCCTTTATCGTTTCATCCGTTGAATCCAAATGTTGTGTATTTGTATTGCATGGAGCCTGAGCATATTGTGTCGTATAATATTCTGAATAGAAGGCTGGATTTTGCTTGTAAACCGATTGACCGCGGTCAAAGTCTTTGTTCTGTGATCCCATTTGTGTTACCAAGATGGCCGGTGCTTGTTCCACCAATTGCCACTGATAAAAGCAAATAGAGATGGTAAAGTGCTGAAAATAGCAATATATTTTACTATTTTTATTTTTATTTTATTTTATTTATTTATTTTACATTTTTTACATAATAGAGTCTATTATGTTATCGCTTCAAACTTGTGGTCCTGCACGAGTGAACTTTATCTTCTCACCAATCATGGGTGCATGGACATTAACTACTCCCATAATCGGTATTTACAACATCATGCAACATTACCCTACCACTTTCATGGCATTCACCATACTAAATCTTCTCATTATAATCAAGGAATTACTATTAGCGTTTTAATTGTATCGTCCTTTGCGTAACTGGAGAAACACTAGTATATTCCCATTGTGCCATGTGTCTATATGAGATGTTGAATAACAAATGATCGTTTATTTGAAAACTCTTTCGTTTAAAAAGAACTGTAAATTCAACTTTAATCTACTGGCTACTATTTTTTTTTTTTGCTGTCGATTTTTTTGAATATATATATATATATATATATATATATATATATATATATATATATATATAGAGAGAGAGAGAGAGAGAGAGAGAGAGAGAGAGAGAGAGAGAGAGGAGGGTTCAAAATATAACCAAAAAACATAGTCTAACCACATAATCACCCTTGTAATCCTTGGATGGTTATATCTAGGGATTATATTAAAAAACGGTGCACAGACCGTTTTATACCTCTTGCACAGGGAATCACATGTACCAAGGGCATAATAGGTTTTCTCCATTATTTCTGGATCTCAATCATCAGACCGTTCCTAATCTTGATATCGCCTCTCTATTTTCCCTAAATCGGTATCCCTCCTCTTGATTTTTCTATCAGACACTTAATTGATTTAGAGCTATTATGCACGGAAACTCGATGGAGTTGGATACGACAAGGATACGTCGAAGAAACGTTTCGTTGAAGTATCGAGAATGCAGGAAACGTTCGTTCAAGTTTCGTGAATGTTTCTATCTTCTTTTAGGTTTTCCATGAGCTTTTTAACTCCAAAAACTGCTAATGGGTATACATATTCTCCTAATTCCTAAACCGATCGACTTTTTAACTCCAAAAACGTTTCTATATCCCAATCGTCGTTGATAACCTTTCACCATCACGCATCATCATTCATCTATTGATTATAGCTTCTCAAGAACAAGAAACACAAGGATCATCATCAACTACATCAATAGACCAACCTCCATTGTGGGACTATGTGAGTAAACTGGAAAAACTTGTTGGAGAAGGAGGATGTTGGAAATTTAAGTGTAACTTTTGCAGTGAACCCTAACAAGGATCCTATTCTAGAGTTAGAGCACATCTTCTTTGTATAAAAGGTAATCTTTGCAGTGTTTGGATTATGATTTTCTGATTTTCTCATGCCTGTATTTCTATTTGCAATATAGGTAGTGGGATTTTTCTATTTGCAAAAAGCAACAACGTACGACTGACAAACTTATGATGAAATTATTAGAAGATGCGTATGAAGAGAAGAAAGCCAAGTCACAAGCGAAAGAAGTCGAGTTGCCATGTGAAGCTGGTGTTGGATTTAAGAAAAGAAAAGGTATTATAACACCTATTGAATGAGCTTTTGGTGTTAAAATTAGGGACCAACTGGATCAAGAAATAGCAAGGATGTTTTATACTGGAGGTTTACCTTTTAATCTTAAAAGAAATCCACACTATCTCAAGCCTTTTCAATTTGTTGCTAACAACAAAATTGATGGTTATGTACCTCCTGGTTATAATAAGCTAAGAACAACATTACTACAAAAAGAAAAAGATAAAGTTCACAGGCTATTGGATCCACTAAGGTTGACATGGAAAGAAAAAGGTGTGACTATTGTGAGTTATGGCTGGAGTGATCCTACAAGAAAACCTCTTATTAATTTCATGGCTACCTCAGGTAATGGTCCTTTGTTTCTAAAGATAGTGAATTATTTTGGGGAAGTAAAAGATAGATTTTATATTGTTGAATTGATAAAAGGAGACATCAATGAAATTGGTCATCAAAATGTTGTGCAAATCATTACTAATAATGCAGCAAATTTTAAGGCGGCTGGAGAGATTATAGAGAGTCAATTTCCTCAAATCTATTGGACGCCATGTGTTGTTTACACGCTTAATCTTGCTTTGAAGAACATTTGTTCACCAAGGAATGTGGAAACAAATGAACTAACATATAAACAATGCAGTTGGATAAAAAAAAGTTCACGAAGATGCGCTTGCAATAACAAATTTCGTCATGAACCATAACATGAGACTCTCGATTTTCACCAAGTTTACTCCTCTTAGTCTGCTTTCGGTTTCCAATACTCGCTTTTCCTCCATCATTGTGATGCTCAGGAGATTGAAACTTATCAAAAGAGGTCTTCAAGCTATGGTCATAAGCAAAGAATGGTCTTCTTATAGATTAGATGACACTGAGAAAGCAAACTTTGTGAAAGAATATATTTTGAATGATGAATGGTGGGACAAAGTAGCATATATTCTTAGTTTCACTGAACCTGTATATGAGATGATTAGAGTTTCTGACATCGGCAAGCCATGTTTACACTTGGTGTATGAGATGTGCGATTCAATGATTAAGAAAGTGAAGATTGAGATTTACAAGAAAGAAAAATGTCTGACATCTCAAATAAGTTGCTTTTATGATGTTGTGCATCGTATTTTAGTGGCTCGATGGGCGATGAATAACACTCCCCTACATTGTTTAGCTCAATCTTTAAATCAAAGGTATATAATTTTAAATTATACACTTGATTTCTATTATATACTTATGTTTTAACTTTTTAATGTTGTAGATATTATAGTAACGCATGGTTACTTGAGGATTCTACAATATGTGCTCCACGTAGGGATGGAGAAATTTCACAAGAAAGGATGACATGTTTTCAAAGGTTCTTTCCTAATGATGATAAGTATAGCAGAGTCCTTGATGAGTACGCAATGTTTTCAATGAAGAGTGGTCATTTTGAGGATTTAACAAGCATTTCAAAGATGGCTACTATGGAACCCAAGAATTAATGGGTTAACTTTGGTTCTCAAACTCATTTTCTCCAGACTTTGGCTTTTAGATTACTTGGACAACCTAATTTTTCTTTTTGTGTGGAATGTAATTGGAGTATTTATGCATTTATTCACTCGCTTAAGAGGAACAAGTTGACTACAAGTCATGCTCAAGACTTAGTTTGCATTCACAATAATCTCCGACTTTTGTCAAGGAATCCGAATGATGATGTAAAGATGTGGGATGTGGGTGGAGATGTTTTTGATTCAATGGAAGATGTAGGGTTTTTGGAGGTTGCCGATCTGTCACTCGATGAACCAGATTTTGAAAATGATTTGATTATTGATAATTAATTACCTTTGAAAGATTTAGTATTTTTGCAGTTTACACTTTACATCAATATATATTTATTTTGAAATTTCTTATATATATATATATATATATATATATATATATATATATATATATATATATATATATATAATACTTTTATATTGCCATATCTCTACCGTATCCCTATCTTGAATTTTTGAGTTTTGTCGTTTCTCGTTTCCATTCCATATTCGTTTCCATTCCATATTCGTTTCCGTTGCCGTATCCGTTTCCATGCAACTTAGATTCAGAGGAGGATGAAGAAAAAATGTTGATATATAATTTGAATTGGTCATCTGATTCATCGTGGCTAGAGATGAAGGTGATAATTGGATTTGTGAGTGACATCCTAGCGACAAAGGAGCAGCAAGTTGAAGCAATACAGGTAGAAGGAGGCAGACTGTCGTTTCTTATCTCATTGTGTTGAATGCTGATTTGAGACTGGGCATTCAAAATAAATATGTTCCTTGTGATTTGAGGCCAAATTGGTGGTCAAATTAGAGTCTCGAATGTGCAGTCACTGATGGAGGCATCTGATTGATGCGATTCGTTTTCGTTCACAATGGATCCGCAATGGTGAAATTTCAATCTTAAGTAGCGTCTCCTATTTCTATGAGATCAAGTTTTAGCTACTTTAATTCTATTTTGTCTACTATCGCTTCTGTTGCGTTTCCTGAAGCAAAAGGAGATGATTCCAAGAGAAAGGATGCGAATCTTGTGAATGAAATATCTACACTGAGAGAACAGGTGGAGTATCTAACACAAAAGGCTCATATTATAGAATCTAATCTTAAAAAAAACATGGATACAATTGAAAGAAGAAACTAAACAAGTTAAATATAAAGAAAAGAAAAACATAGCTGCAAATGAATCTCTCACCATACAGGTTAGTGAATAATTCTTGGTTTATTTAATTCTGTTTGTGCTTTCATTAAGTTAAAATAACAGACTGAGTAGTGAAATCCTATGACAAGTGGAGAATCTAACCACAAGGATACCACAAGGATACCCCACATATATTGTTTAAGATGCAGAGTTTCAGGTTCATATGCTGGAAGACTTTCTATCCAAAGGCAATTGAGCCTTTAAGGTATTTTCTCTTCATTTGCATACCTTTATTTTCATTTTTGATTATCATCAAGTGGTTAAAAGAGAAATATGCGTCAATTTCATTTCAGTTTGTATCACTTTAAATAAACAACATTGTACATTAATCCTGATTTAGGGAAATAATTCATAGATGTTAAAGTACCATGTTAATGTCCTTTTTGTGGTGAAAAATGCCAACGTGATAGCTTAATTTTACAATATGAATGAAATGAAATGAAATGATTCAATAGTTTGCTATTCTTTTATCCTACACCGGGATGAAGCCAGAATAAAAGATCGAATGTATGTTCATCTGTGATCATATGTTCATCTATGTGTATTTCATCAATATTTATAAATAATCATGTATTTCATTAATATTTATAAATAATCATTGTTTCTAATCATTATCTCATTCTTTTATATTTTTCAGGTCAGTTTTGATTTGAAAATTGTTGAATCTAAAGGTGAAATTGAAGTTGATGGTGTGATGCAGAATTGAGACAAAATCATATATGCACCCACATGGACTTATGTTCATTTATGA